CAAGAGCTTCCAGAAGCAAAGGGAACGTCCTATTCCCTGAGATAAGGAGGTGGTCTCAGCCTAGACCCATAGTAATTTTGCTGTTTATACGAAGAGGAGCAGATCCAGGCTCAGGAGACCTTCCTAGGACAGCCCACATGCATCCCTGGGCAGGTGGATGGACATCCAGACCTCAGTTAGACCTGAAGTCTAACTTCAGCCAGCTCTAATGAGAATATTCAACACAAAACATGGAGTAAAGAGCAACAGGGTCACAAGCAAAGGAAGAGGATTAAGGGAGAATATGGTCTTTATCCATCACAGATGGATGCAATTTCAGCTGAGCAGGGTGCACCAAACAGGAGATTTGCAGTGTTATCCGTGATGGCGTGTTAAATGGCACTAACATGAAAAAAAAAAAAAAAAAGTTGTCTAAAAATGTAAATTCACTGGGTCAGTTCTTTCATTTCTATAGAAACAGAAGAGCTTGCCAGCGGCAAACTCAAAGGAGATGTATTTAGATACCCGAATCAACTATTTTCTTACACAACTCACCAAAAAAAAAAAAAAAAAAAAAAAAAGAAAAAGAAAAAGAAAAATCTGACAATACTAGCATGGAAACTGCAGAGCACAACATATGGATTTAATTATTAGCTATGAAATCACATGTATGGTACAGAACACATAGGAGAGACGTGCTCCGCTTCCATATGTGCTCCCACAGGGGAAGGGCTATAACTGCCTATTTATTAAATGAACTGCTTCAAGTTGCTTCATAAAAGTAAACCTGGGGGAGATCTGTATCACAAGAGCCTTTCCTAGGGACAGGATCACGAGGCAAGGTCTCCATCCCTTCCCCATGCAGCCCCTCGTCCCGCTGTGTCTGCTCCTGCGGCACAGGCCCGTGCAGGTCCCACCACGGCTGCCTCTGCCCAAGGCTCTCCGAGCCCCTGCACTGGGTGTGTGGGACCCGAGAGCTGGTAGGAGGCAGGTCTTAGGCCTAGACCTCTCACTGAAAAGCCTCCTCATCAGTGGAGGAACCATCACAATGGACTCTGGGGATACCAGGAACATTTGGGCTGGGTTGGCCAGCACCCGGGCCAGAGGCTCCCTGGGGAAACCATCCTATTTCCATGCTGGAAGCAGAGGAGGAAGGTGACTTGCCAGGCTACTCTCTAAGACTCCTGCAAACCAAGACACTAACCATGTCAGGAAGAGCTGCTGCGTTTCCTCAGGCCGGGAGCAGCAGGGGCTGGAGCAGGGTTAACATCTTTGGGGAGYACCTGAGTCTCACCAAGGCTTAGAAGAAGCCCCCAAATCACACAGGGCCCCTTGTCCAGTCCCTGTCTTGCTCCATTAGTGTAAAGGCTGAGCCAGGTCGCTGCCATGGGGCTCAGCGTCCCCAGGCTGGCCATGTCCCTTCCTTGGGGCTCCTCGGGGCGCGTGGCAGCCGAGCTGGCTCCTGAAGCTCCGCGCACGCTCCAGRCCTTGGCAGGGGACACGGGCTGCAGGGTGGCTCACGGGGACTCGCTGTGCTGCGAGCTGGCCGTGGGTCAGAGCGCACCGCGTTCTCCTTCAACGAGGCTTCCCTGCGTGCTGCATCGCGAGCCTGGATCCGGCCCCAGCACACAGCAAGTTAGTCCTTCTCCGGAAACCTGGGAAAGATTAAGTGTCCTTTGCGTCTTGCTCTGCAAAGTCCTTTGCAGATCGATCGTGGTCCCCAGCGAGCTCCAGTTAATGAGGGAGTGGAAAGGGAGGGAAGAGCAGCACGAGCCCACCAGGGTTATTACAGGCAGCATCAAGACACCTGAGCGGCGGTGCCCATCGAGTCCATCGGTACCGGCGGTGGGGAGTCCCGACCGGGGTCTGAAAGGCTTCAAGCGGAGCCATCCCGAGCAGCTCCCCTGCCTGCTGCTTGCCCCAGCTGCTCTGTGCTCGCCCTGCTGTTGCCTCTCCCTTTTCTGCCTCATCCAGCAGATCAGCTYCCGTGACACTTGGCAGGGTTGGGCACTCGGGTTCGTGCCCAGCAGCTCATAAGCCCATGCTCACAGCAAGCACTTGTCTCCCTGCCTCCCAGGCCACTCCTGACCCGGTCCTGGAAAGGGTCCCGAGCACCAAGGGCTGCCCCTTGCCCTCATCCCGCTCACCTGCTGGGCACCGAATTGCCTCTTCCCTGGGTCCCTGGGCATTTGCAAAGTGTGATTTCAGTGGCAGCAGGTGCCTGAGCAGGAGGCAGCCAGAGGTGTCCCCTTTGCTGGGGACATCTGAGGGCTGTTCAGAAGCAGCCCAGCTCCTCAGCAGCCTCTCGGCGCCGGTGCTGCCGCACGCACTTCCTCCAGGAACAGCGCGGATAAAATCTCCGGCGCGGGCAGCTGGCGGAGCTCGGCCTGCGGGTTTGGGCTGCCACGGGCTCGGCTGTTATCCTCAACGCTCCAGCCCTCGGTCACTGCCCGGAGCAGCAATGCTGGTTCCTGGGGACGTCATGTTGTCACCGCAATGTCACATTGCACAGCGGCATGACATGCTGGCAGTGCCACGATGTGCAGGGACAGCRTGGCGATGTCACGTTGGTGGTGCTGCAGGTTCCCCTCTCCACACAGCCTGCAGCGAGGGGGACATTTGTTCTCCCTGGGCAGCACGTCCATCCCCAGGGCTCGCTGCCGTGGCCAGCAGCAGAGATCACAGGCTCACAATGACCCTCATCCTCCTCCTAACCCTTGGCATCCTCCCGTCCTGCCCACACAGCTCCCRGAGACGCAACCTGCTCCCTTGGAGGGGCTGCAGCGACCCAGCCAGAACCAGGACCCCAATGCACAAGGTGCCACCCAGACCCTCTCCCCAGTGAGCTCRGTGCTGGTGCGGACAAGGCAGCTCAGCCCTGGGGCGATGGGCAGCGCTGGGCTCCCCATGGAGCTCAGGGTGCTGCCTGCAGCGCAAAGGCCTCGCACCCACCTCTCCGTGCACCSAGGAGCTGCTCCCAGCACCACCGACACGAGGGGACACGGGTTTCATTAGCACCCCCAAAACTCACGTGTGCAGCCACCGCACTGCCAGGGTTGCCCTTTGGGAGGGCACACAGCTGTTTAGWCCCCACAAGACAGGAGACTTCAGGCTGATCCACAGGGAGAGGGAATTCCAGCTCCAGGAGAAGTCCCAGCAGCCTTGGGAGGCAGCTGTGTATTTTTACAAGCTGACGTGGTCTCATTAACAAAAGTGATTACAGCTAATGAAGCAAAACCAAAGCAGAGGATCACAGTGGTGAGTGAGGAGACCCGAGTGCATCTGCCCTCCTCCGTGCCTCGCAGAGCAGCTGTGCTCTGGAGGCTCCTGCTCTGCAGCCACTCCAAGCTGCAGGCATCTCATGTACCAACAAGCTGAGACCTAGTGTTGCCGTGCGAGTGACTAAGGATTTGTCACCTTCTTTTTTCCCAACAATCCCATTTTGCAGCCAGGAAAAAAATAGAAAAAGGCAAAGAGGAAAGGAAAAGTGGGAGGAAGAAAGGATTTGGGGCATCACTCATAATTGTGCAACTTAACTGGTGCCCTGCCTAAATGGCACTTAGCCTCTCCTGCGTGTTTGCCAGCATATATTGCAATTCCCAGAGCAGTTCTCGTCATGCCTGCCTGGGAGACAGGAATAAAGTCGTGGTGTGTGCAGCCTGCTCTGGTTCTGTCCCCTGCACCGAAGCAGGGACACGTGTCCCCAGCTCCTGGAGCTGCCTGCGGTCACTGGAGGTGCAGGAAAGGAGCGCAGCAGAGCTGCAGGACACGTGTGCCCCATAAGTTCCCCTTCTATCTTCTGATAAAATCAGGGGGCTGCTGGCCTAAAGGAAGGGCCCCATCTAGGGAAGGGGAATTAATGTTGTTGTTCTTCTGAAGACCCAGCCTTAGCTCCTCAGCCACAGCAGCTGGGAGGAAGCTAGGCAGGAAAGCTTGCAGAGGGCAAACTGAGAAGGGAGGGCATGCATGGCAAACACAAAGCACTCTCCTTATCCCCCAAGACTAGGTTTTTAATCCTCATGATGAAGTTGTTCATATTTTTTTTTCCAGGAGCTGATTTTGCATTTACAAGACTTAAAGTTAGCAGTGCTGCTGCAATAGCCAGACCTGCAGCCTCACCTGCAACCTAACCAGCCCTTAGGCAATGCACTAACTACACCACGTGCTGCACCATGGATACCCTATTGGCACCACAACCACTGCAAATCCCTTTCCCACTCTTGAAATGCCAAAGAAACTGGGAATGGCAATACATCCAGGATGCCTGGTGCAATTGCTGCAACTAGAGCTCCCTGGAACAGAAGCACATCACAGTTTCCCTAAAAATAGAGGAACCTGATCCTGCCTTTGACTCRCGGGCTCTGTACAACACAGGTAACGAAACGCCCACACAAAACACAAACATCACTTTCCTACTATGCATTATAGGCTCAGCATGAAAAATAGGGGTGAGTTCCCGCTCTTGCTTGGTTGTAGCAATGCCCCAGTGCAGGACACACTGTCCTGGGGAGAAGAGCTTTGAGATCAAAGTAAATCTTTCCAGTTGGAAATATTGCTTTCAATGTCTGACTCACGGACATGTGGGCCATGCAAAGGAGTTATTTGAAACCCAAGGGAAAGATTCAGGGTCTATCTGGGCAGATTTGCATCAGCAGGATGGGGCATAGACCTTCCCTCCGCATGCCAGGCTGGCACCTACCAGCCTGACTTTCCAGCCTCCCAGGCAGAGGGTCCCTGCTCTTTGCTTTCTGCCTCCGTGGATAACACGTTCTCACCTTGAGAGGAGTGGAAATGTCAGCTGGAATGTGGGCCGGAAAAGAAAAGAGGGAAAAAAAAAAAAAAAAAAGCAAAGCTTGAGGCTTGTCCAAACCTACTCGTGTTTATACTGGAGCCTGTGAGTGACATCAGAGCAGGGAGAGTATAAACACCAGCAGGACCTACTCGGGGCTTGGAAACCTGCGCACACGCTGCTGCCTCCCGGGAGCCCGGGGATGTGCTGAAGGGGCAGCGGAGAGAGCAGCATGAGGCTCCAGCTGGAGAAGCAGCTTCTCCTCTTCTCCCTGCTCTGCACCCTTTCCAAGGTAAGGGAGGGGGGCCCTGGGGTCCGGTAGCAGCAGCCAGGGAAGTGCCCGATTCCTGCAAGATCCCAGCTCAGAGCCCTTGGCCCCGCACGCAGAGGGGATTTATTGGTGCTGTCTCAGAGGCAAAGCAATGTCAGAGGCACGTGGCATTAAGCAGCAGGGTCCTAATGCCCCCAGGCTGAAGATGCCCATTCTGCACGTCCCTGCTGCCCTYCCCACGTGCTCCAGTGTTGTGCATGTCCCTGCTGCCCTTCCCGGTGCTCCAACGTGCTCTGCTGGCCAGCCCCTTCCCGGGAGCTCTCAGCCATCCCCGCGGCTCYGGCTGCAGAGCCCCTGCTCTGGGCTCCAGGCACTGGGCAGGGGGCCAAGCAGCTGGCACCAGCCTCACCATTACTCAGTTTTCCCCCTGCCCCGTGTTGCTCACTTAGAGCTGATGCCTCCTACAGGAGCTGCCTTGTCCTAGTAATGTTTTTCCTCTTGGGCTGTGTGCCAGAATTCCCTGTGCAGAGAGCAGGAAAGCTGAAAACTTTAAGGTGTTTCAGTTGCAAGTTCTTTAGTTGCTCTTTGAATCTCCAAGTTAAACCTTMTGCAAGCAGGGATATTGGGGAAGCTTCATGACTGCCTAACTCTTAATATGTGGTTTACATCTAAGAGGAGACACTGTCAGCCAAAGCCAAGCTAATTGCAAGGAGCAGAGCGAAACCGAGCAATGGTCTCTATAATCTTTCCAGAGCATCAATCTGTGATAGTAACCTCCTGAAAGGTGAAGAAAAGCAGTTGGCTGCTGGAGGGAGCAGTAGCTGGGAAATGATGCTGCCCCAGGAGTGCTCAGTGCACGTCTGAGGAATGACCAGYGTGCCTGGGTATCTCCAACCCCATCCCTGTCACCACAGATAGTCCTTCAGTTGCTGCCGTGGTTCTCCCTATAGTCTTTGCCATGGAAACTCAGAAATTCATTAATTAAACAAGAATAGACATATTTTACAGGGCATTTTGGATGTATTTCACCTTCAACTACCAGCACTGACATGGGGAAAAAGTAGGTGGCCACCTGAACTCCTGCAGATGAGGAAAGCAGAAGGCACGGCCATACTCACCTTCTGTGTCCTCCCAGCCATGTCACGACCAGCGATGCTCCTTGCCCGGYTGAGACCGGGCGAGAGATGCTCCTTGCCCAGCTGGCCAGAGCAGGCGGCGGATGCTCCATCACGGGGACAGACGTGCACCCCATCCCTGGGCTGCCGCGGCCGCTCACATCGCGGTCCAGCTCTACGTGCAGAGCAGTTTTCCAGGCTGCTTTGCCCCATTCCCGCAGGCTGAGCCTCCCTCCACCAAAAAGCCGCCCGCAGCCAACCCAGGGGCCCTGGTGCCCGCAGGGAAGCGGCAGCAACGGGGATGTTTTTCCCTCTGCAGGTGTGTGCCCAGCTGTGCCAGCGGCCCTGCTACTGCCCCGGGGTGCCGCCCCGCTGCCCGCGCGGCGCCCCGCTCGTCCTGGACGGCTGCGGCTGCTGCCGGATCTGCGCGCGGCGCCTGGGCGAGCCCTGCGACCTCCGGGCCGTGTGCGACCGCAGCCAGGGCCTCGTCTGCGACCACGGCACGGGCACCTGCAACTGTGAGCGCCGCCGCCAGCGCAGGGCGCTCCAGCCCCGCAAGCCGCCTTCCCGGCGTTGGGATGGGGGTGCTTTGGGCAGGGAAGGAGGGGGCTCCCCAGGGAATGGGGTCCCCAAGTGATGGAGTGTGGGGGGAGCCCAGCTCGGGCTCAAGGAGGAGCTGGCAGTGCCCAAGGAAGGGCAGATGCCAATCAACCCTGGCCCCTTGGGAGTCCTCAGAGCCATGGGCTGCTGGATGCCACATCTGGGGCTCCTTGGAGGCCAGGAGAGCCRTGGTTGGACTCTACCAAGGCCAAAGATACAACAAGGCAAAAGAGGCTGCTCAGATAGACAGAAGTGGCAGCTCCTCCTTGGTGCCAGCTGCACAGGTGCCCCTCAAGCATCCAGGACCCCTCGGATACCCACAGCTCACCWGTTCTTTGTCCCTAACCTGGTTCCTGCCTCTCACTTGCAGTTGAGGACAACRAGGAGGACTGCGAAGTGAACGGGCACGTCTACCGGGACGGGGAGGTTTTCCAGCCCAGCTGCAAGCTGCAGTGCCGCTGCTGGGACGGCGGCGTCACCTGCGTGCCGCTGTGCCAGGAGGACGTGCGCTTGCCCACGCCRGACTGCCCCTTCCCGCGCCGCGTGGCCGTTCCCGGGAAGTGCTGCCAGGAGTGGGTGTGCGAGACGCGGGAGCTGCCCCAGGCCACAGGTGATGTGCGGATCTACGGCAGGTCTGGGCACAGCCCCCTCCCGGCACCCTACGCTGGGATGGCCATTCATTGCACACCCACCCTCACATATCCCCAACCCACTTCCCAACCCGGTGGCGGCTGGGCCCCCAGCACCCACCCCAGGCTCCAACCGCCCTTTCCTGCCCTCTCCCCGTGCAGCGCCCAGGATCCCGGGGCTGCCCTACCCCTGCGAGGAGTGGAGCACGGAGTGGAGCGCCTGCTCGGCCACCTGCGGCATGGGCTTCTCCAGCCGCSTGTCCAACCAGAACCGCCACTGCCGGCTGCAGACGCAGACGCGGCTCTGCGTGGTCAGGCCCTGCCAGGCTCTGCCACCAGCGTCCCCAGCGGTGAGTGGGGCCTCTGGGCACTCGGACACCTCTGGGCAACGGGTGGGACAGAGGAGGGTGTTTCCCGCCAGCGCAGGAGCCACGGGACCCACCAGGTGCCTGGGGACCCCTTAGAACCCTCCCCGCCACCAGCTCGCCACATCTCAGGGCCAGAAAAGCCATATCCCAAAACCTCTCTTGGGAAACTTACCCCAGCTCTGCATGGCAAGCGCAGGCTTGTATTTGGAGATCTCAGGAGGCCAGAATCCAAGAGCACGGATGGAAACCACCAGGCCCTGAGCCTCGYGGGTTGGCTTGAGGTGCCCCTGCAGCAGGGGACATGTTGGTGGCGCCCGGGTTCTTGTGAGCAGCAGGGCTTCAATGCGCCTGGTTCGGAGCCAGTGCAGCCGTGGTGCAAAACCAGCTCACTGCGGTGCTGCGGGAGCTCTGGGCCAGCTGCCCCTGCTCCCACCCACCCCGTGTCACCGTCCCACGGCACCACRGCTCGCGGTGCTCCCGTCTCCGTGTCACCCTCTGCTCTGCCTTTCCAGAGGGGACGAGGCCACGTGTAGCAACATCCACCCTGCTCAGAGCGCGGAGCCAACTCCTCATCCCGGCAAGGAGCCCTACGCAAGCCCCCAGCTGCAGTCTCAGTGGGGATGGAGGATGCATCCCCTGGGAGGCCAGGAAGAACGGATGGACCTCGGCTGCAAAAAAGAGTGGAAAATTGAGACAAAGACCCCATTCCATGCAGCACCTGCTCCCTCGTGTGCACCCCTGTTCCCCCAGGCAGGGCCACTGTCCAGCAGGAAAAGTGTCCCCAAGTCCCCCGGGTGCACTAGCGAGGGAGTCCTGCTGCAACACGGCCACTGCAGCGACGCTTGGGGGTTAGGGCGATTCCCAGGACAAGGCCTTGGGAAAGCCCTTTCCTGAAGGGACACGGAGGAAGGATGGGGAGGTGGCTRGGCCAGCTCTGCAGTGCTCCTGGCCACACTGAGCAGCCAGTGCCCTTGGTGCATGTGTGCCCAGCAGCAGCAGGGCCGGCCCCAAGCCAGGCACTATCCCACAGTGGCTTCCAGGCCTTCCCGGAGAGRCATGAAAACAGACCAGGGATGCACCCTGCCCTGCTTTCACCTCCAAGAGGTGGGACAGGGACCTGGACTATCAGGGACATGTGCAGAGGCCTGGGAACCAGGGAGATCCTGGCTCCTTCCCAGGAACCCACCTGCAAACCCAGGAATTGCTCCTTCGCAGGATGGGGGCTGGCCCTGGCAGGGTAGGGCCGGGGGATGCTGTGAATCCTCCACAAGCCCCAYGCAGGGCTCTGCAGGGACCGAGGTGCCTCAAGGACCACATTGACCAGATCCCTCGTGGGATCCACGCTGCGGATCCCTCGTGGCCGACCCGCCGGGGCCGGCGCAGCAGGACGGGCCTCGCACAGCAGGTTAGCGCTGCTCCAGCTCCACAGCTCACACTCAGTTACCCACAGCATCCTCCATGCCGACACACAGCCACATTCCCGGGCATGGACAGAGTCATCCTCCTCACGGCAGCTCCAAGGCACCTTCCCGCATCCCTCCAGAATAAACACAACCCTTCCTGCTCCGCCTGGCCTCTCCTTTCCAAGGGGCTGGTGGTTTGGCAGGGCTGCCAGGCAGCCAGGAGCTCAGACACGAGACGATGCTCCGCGGCACCAGACATACCACCTAACACCCAAGCACAACCCCGAAGGACTAAGGCCAAGGCAGGAAAAGAGAAAGCAAAATGCAAAGATGAGTCGGGGCTGTCTCCTGACAGCCTGGAACTGCTCCCGCAAGGCAGAGTAAAGAAGTGGAATGAAGTTGCGTGGAGGGGAGGAAAGCAGCACGGCAAGGAGCCTGGCATGGCCAAGCTGGATGCTGCAGTCTGGGARAGCCCAGAGCAGGAGGCATCTGCACCAAAGGGAAAAGTAGCCGGACACACACGGCTTCAGTTCTCCCGCTGCACGTGCATCTCTGGCTCTTGGCACAAGCACACCTGTGCAGACCCCTGCGTGGAGCAGGGCTGCAGGGYGGGAGCTGCACCCTCGCTGCGCCCGTGCTCCCGCGCGGAGCTGCGTCCTGCGGCAGGCGCCTGTCACCCCGCTCCCATGGCCGGACACGGGCTCCAGCACTTGGGCTCCAAAGCCACTCACCCAAATAAGCCTTGGGCAACAAATCCTGGTCCSTTGGGGGCCCTCAGAGCCCGTGGGCTGTCAGATGTCACATCCCAGGCTCCTCAGAGACCACGCTGCACTCAGACTCTATCCAGACAGGAGATGGAGCAAAGCAGAAGGCATCTTGGAAAGACACAAGTGGCAGTTCCCCCTTGGGAGCATCCCCTGCGGTGAGTGGGGCCTCTGGTCCCTCTGGCAATGGATGGGATGGAGAGGGGGAGTCCAGCCAGCACAGGGACCCCCCAGGGGCTGGAGACACCTCAGCAGCCTTCCCCACCACCAGCCACGAGCTGGCACATCTCAGCTTCCCTGCTTGGGGCTGCAGAGCTCACACACACACACTCAATTATCCCACAGCATCCACTAAGCCAACACACAGCCACATTCCCAGGCACGGGCAGCATCCTCCTCCTCATGGCAGCTCCAAGGCACCTTCTCACATCCCTCCAGGATAAACACAACCCTTCCTGCTCCGCCTGGCCTCTCYTTTCCAAGGGGCTGGTGGTTTGGCAGRGCTGCCAGGCAGCCAGGAGCTCAGACACGAGACGATGCTCTGCAGCACCAGACATACCACCTAATATCCAAGCAAACGCAGGAAAAGAAAACAAATCCCAAAGACAACATCCGCCTCCTTCCCCATCCATCCCACTCACGCATCCTCCCACATCCCTCTCCCTTCTCCTCCCTCCAGCATCATCCCTCCTGCTCCATCCTCCAGGGACGGCCTAAGGGCTGGGCCCTGTAATCAGGGATGGATCCAGGGCCAAATCCTGCTATCTGGGAGAGGGCACAGGAACATGTGTGCACTTACACAGTGCTCTATGAGGGGCAAGAAACGTTCCTGCTGAGCAGCAGATATGATCCAAGTTGCATAATCTATGCGGTAGCTGCTGCCCACAGATAAATATATAATTACTGAGAAATAAAAGGCAGCACTGATGCCTTGCCTAGAATATACGATGCAGATATCAAAAACCCAACACGTTCTTAGGAAAGCACTTCTCATGCTTGCACCTGACATCTGGTTTAAACCTTTCACGTTTTGATTTTTTCCCTCTCTTTCTGGGAACGAATTTGTCTGCTTCTGAGAAATGCATCTCCTGTCTATCCAATCACYGTTGCACTCAATACGTATTTGAAAATGCCACTTTATAAACAGGCTGGAATAGAGAGCCTTGATTTCAGCACACATGCTATTAGCAGAGAGATTTGTTTGTAGCTGTTCTCCCGCTGCAAAGAAACRCTTCTCTCCACGTACAAAGACTTCAGTGCTGACAGAAAAACAAACACCAGTGTGGTTAAACTTGGAAATTCGGAGGCTTGTCACTGAAGCACCACGTCACAGGCCAGGCCGGAACTGCTGGTATAAAGTTTTGGCCATTTATTTTAATTGTGTCTCTCCCCACTCCTCCAAGCGTCATCTCCCGAAATTTGGGGTGTTTCCCCTCAGAGCAGAGGCTCCGTTTGGTCTTCCTGCACAACCAGCTTGGCGTGTCCCACCATCCCAAATTCAGCACGCAGGAAGCCCTAAGCCTCCCCCAGCCTAGCAATAGCTACCCCGGCCTTGCTCAGGGGAAAACAGGAGCCAGGAAATCAGGGCTGGGAAACCTGAGGTGCTCTTCAAGGTTGCTGCCTTCAGCTCTCGCCCTCGCAATATCTGGGCATCTTCTGCGTCACGTCTTGCTTTTCCTGTCAATAAAATCTCRCAGGGGAGGAGATGGAAGTGAAACCGCGTGCTCTGGGGGCACTTATACAAGYAGGTGGTGGCGGCAGGTTGTGGCCGTGCGCTGCAGGGAGGCGCAGCCCCTGGCACGGGACAGAAGGACACAAGTGGCTGCTGGAGCTCGGCCAAGGCCCCTGCGGGAGCCACTCCGGCTTCCACCCCTGCACATGTCCTTTCCTTGGGGCGCTCCAGGTTGCTCCGTGCTCTGCAATCCCGCACCGGGACGGGGAGAAAAGGTGCCGGGTGTGTCTACGGGGTGAGATTTTCCCAGCTGGCTGCCTCCTTTCCCCAGGGATGGGCTGTTTTCCACTCCTCCAAACGCGACAGGAGAAAGGGGGAACAAGCTAAAACGCTGGTGCGTGGGTGCCCTGTGCCAGACGGCTGCCACCAGCCCGGCTGAGAGACAGGGAGGGCGTAGGACGGAGCGAGTCCCGGCGCGCAGCCCCGCCGCGGGGAGCGGGGGCCGGGCAGGGCCCGGGCAGGAAGCGGCAGCCGCGCAGCGCGGGGCTCCGCGAGCGGCCGCGGCGCCGCCTCCCCGACACGCGGGGAAAGCCCCGGGGCCCGGGGGGGCACCCGGCCCGCCCCCGCCCCCCCCGGGCCCTCCCCGACCGGGTGCGCGGGGACCGCCCCCCCGCACCAACACACACCGCCCTGGGCACCGCGACACGGCACCGGGACCCGGCGCTCCCGACACCGCGACGCGGCACCGGGACCCGGCGCTCCCGACACCGCGACGCGGCACCGGGACCCGGCGCTCCGGGCCCTGCTCCTGCCCCGCGGCAATACCTCCTCCAGGCACCGCTCCAAGCTGCCGCATTCCCAGCACCCGCACCTCATTTCCCGGCACCGCCACCCCGCGCACCACCGCAAGCATCACCCCACAGCACTGTCCCGCGGGACGAAGAACAGTCAGAGGAACTACCTCTGCCCTCTGGCACTCCCAGCTCCCTGGCCATGCAGGCTGCGCCGAATTGGACTTTGCCACYGGGCAATGCCAGCAAGACAACATGYGCAGTGAACACGGCCTTCGCCCACCACTACCTGCCTGCCGTCTACCTGGTGGTGATCCCGCTGGGGCTGGTGGGCAACGCGCTGGGGCTGTGGCAGCTCTGTGCCCGGCCGCGGCGCAGCGCCCTGAGCCTGCTCGTGGGCAGCCTGGGCCTGGCCGACCTGCTCTACGTCAGCACGCTGCCCTTCCTCGTGAGCTACTACGCGCAGAGCAGGCGGTGGGTGTTCGGCACCGCCTGGTGCCACCTCACGCGGAGCTTCTTCCACCTCAACCTCTAYGCCAGCATCGGCTTCCTCACCTGCATCAGCGTCCACCGCTACCTGGGCATCGTGCACCCCATGAAGATGCGGGGCAGGTGCCAGGCTCTGACCTCCTCTCTGTGGCTCAGTGCCATGGTCTGGCTGTGGGTCATCGCACAGGTGGCTCCCGATTTCACCTTCAGCAAAATGGACGCAGCAGAGGCCAAGTGCCACGACACGACAGATGACAAGAACCTGGACACTTACTTGCCGTACACTGCAGCGGTCACCGTGATCGGCTTTGTCATCCCCTTCCTCATCATCATCGGGTGCTACGGGCACGTGGTTGTGGTGCTCTGCAGGAACAACACCGTGGATGCCAACCTGCGGAGGAGAAGCATCAGGCTGGTGGTAGTCGTGACTGTCCTCTTCGCGCTCTGCTTCCTCCCCTACCACATCTTCAGAAACCTCAACCTGTTGTCCCGACGCTGGCAACACAAAGGGACCTGCACGCAGACCTCAAGGAACATCTACATCTCCTACCAGGTGACCCGCGGCCTGGCCAGCTTGAACAGCGCCTTGAACCCGCTGCTCTACGTGATGACCAGCGAGGACGGCGCGTCCCTCGCGAGGACCCTCCGGCAAAGGGCCGGCCGCTCTCTGCGCTCCCTGTTCCGCAGCGAAGGCGGCCAGCACTCGGACGAGAGGAAATTCAACTTCATCCTCTGCGAGCAGCAGGTTTCCGAGGAGCTCTGAGCTCCCCAGGTACAGGCTGGGGACAGGACTCCAAGCAGAGGGACACGACTACCAACCTCACAGGAGCGAGGAAGGGCAAGCGGCAGGGGGAAGCGCTTCRAAAATAGAAATGTTCATAAAAACATCAGATATTAAATACGTGACTAAGCTGTGCCAGTTCCTGTGCTAGCTATTCCTGGCTGAGCTGCTTCAGGACCTGTGCTGGCCTCTATTGCTCACCTCCTTTGAGGAGGAAAAATATATTTTAGCGTTACTCACTCCTTTCCAGAAGAGCATAGTGCAGACAGCAGCAAAGAGGCAGCTTGAAGTTTCTGGAGGCTGGTGCTCTGGAAGGAGATGACTGCAGAAACCTGAGCCCCTGGTTGCAACAGGCAAAGCCCAGATTTCCTGAATCTTCAGGTGGGTGGCTGCATTGCATTGTCTCTCTTGCATCTAGCCTTGCATTATTAGGATGCTAGACATGCAAGGACACACCTGACATGTGCATGTGCTAACCCAACTGCAGCTGGCCTAGTGATAATTATGGATCAAACATTAGATCTGTGGCCATTAACAGCTGCTATCAGTAGCAACTCTCCCACTGCAGAAGTTTGATACTACAGCATCARAAAAGCAGCAACCTTTTTCTTTATATAGGCTTGCAGATGCAAGAACGCTGCGATCAGTTAGTGATGGGGCCTTTGCACCAGCGTTGCTTGTGGCTGTGCACGCGCTAAGCTAGCTTCACWGCGGCCGCGTGTTTGCATGTCTGCCCGTGCCCTGCAAGCCTCGCTGCAAGGGTGGAAATTCCTCCTGGTAACTCTGTAAAAAGAACCAGCCTTTCAGGGTTAGACATCTGRTGTGTTCAACCCCGTGCGTTAGGCAGTGGGGGGGAAGCCGTGAGTTTCTCTTAGCCTAGGGAGCATTCAGAAGTGTTTGTCATGCACACATCCTGAAACCACCGCTCAAGAGGCGGACAAAGACATCTACCAACCCAGAGTCAGATAAAAGAGCAAGCTCGGGTATTTTATTCTATAAATGGATTTTCCGCACACCTTAAGCAGTACTTGCTTTACAGCCTTGCTCGGAGAGGGGCAGTGTGGGTCTGGAGAGGCACGAAGGGGAGGTCACGCAGCAGGGACAGGGGCTGCGAGCAGGGACATGGGCGCTGCTGCCGGGAAGGCAAAGCTGCCGAGCAGCGAGTTGCTTTTTCCTCTTGCTGTTCTCACCTACGTGCAAGCAGCTCACGTGTTTCGGTTCCTGCGAGAAGAGCAACATGATTTTTAATAACTGTTAAAAGCAGAGGCAGTCCTGGGACGGTGCCAGCCCACGAGCCCTGCGCTGCTTGGCACGAAGCCCAGTGCTCCCTGCCTTCCCACCTCGGCTGGGCCGAGGAGGGAGCCGCGGCGGGACGGCTAATGCAGCTCGAGCGCAAATAAACATTAATGCTCTAGTTGTGCATCCTCTGGCTTCCTCTAGAGCTTTAKAGGAGGACTCAGCAGCAGCTCCATGGGCTGGAGCAGGGGCTGCCTGCTGTGGGAGCGAGCAATGAATTCCATGGGGCTCTGCAGAGCAGGAGCTGCTGGAGCCCTGTGTGCTGGTCACCTGGCAAGACCGTCCTCAGTGCAGCTCCATCCGCTGCAGAGCGGGGCTGGAGGGACCAAGGTGGCTCCTTGAGATGCGCTCGGCACCTGGCAGGGCTCCAGCAGAGCCCTCGCGCATCCCTGGAACTGCCAGCTCCTACTTCACCTGGAAGAGCTCAACAGGCCAAGCCTCACAGACGAGGAGATGCTCTTGTCTCTGCCGTAGGGAAGACCTTAAGGATGTCGGGACCTCATCTGGTCTCTTGTTTGCACGTTGTCTATGGAGCTGGGATTTCCTCACAGCTTTGCCAGAGCTCTCCCTTCTTGCCTGAAGGAATAYACACATTCCCACCAGCTCTTCCATCCTGATGAGATCCATATACAAGAGACACCGCTTCTCCCGGTGGATCTGGTGACCTGGGGGAACTGCTGCTTCGTGCTACTCTTTCTGCTTGGTACCTACTCCTGTTGGTCTGTGCCACTCACCATGCCCAGGGCCCTGCTCTGATGCTCCCAGGTATTTGGGAGAGCTGTGCCCAAGGCCTCTTAGCCCAACCACATCCTCACGGTGCAGGACTGCCCTGCRGGGAAGCCAGCAAGTCATCTCACTTGGGACTCCTGGCTTAGGATGAGCTGAACGTTCCCATCCTCTTCCTTACCCAAAGCAGGCAAGGGGAATCCTGTGGGTAACACCGGTTTCTCAGCACAGCCCTGCAGCCTCTCCACTGCACCGAGGGCTCCTCTGCCCATCAGAGCCCAATGGGGAGTTCTCCCTTCTTCACCCAGTGTGAGGTCAACACCCAAATCCACCTGGGTGGGAATCCTCCTGGTGACATTGAGGGGATGAAGATGAGGCCCAGAAATCTGGCAGCATTTCTTGCTTCATTACATAACCCCCCCATTAAAGAWCTTCAACACAATCAAGATTTGCTACAGTAGCAGGGAACTTCTGAGCTGACAGCCCAGAAAAGCTGTTCAGGCCAAATTAGCAGGTACCTGCATGCACATTCCCTCCTCATCTCCCCAGAAATGAAAAGCAGATTTGCTCAGTGGGCAAAACACCGAGCAAGAGGAGAACATCACTAATGTCTGCTTACGAGCAGCATCTAATCACAGAATGGAGCTGGAGGGGCAGCTAGCCCAGATTTGGGGCAATGGGAAGGGAGAGGAGGGGTTCAGCTCTTCCTTCCTCACCGCGAGCTCCACATTGCCAAACATGCAAGGAATTGTGGAGGAAAAACCTCACAGCAGGAGAGGGAGCCAAGAGGTACCTGCAGGTTTGGGTCTCTGCAGTGCTGGGGAATGGGATCAGSTGCTGCTGTTATAGCAGGGTGGGAGACCAAGCCCATCAAAAAGGGATGGATCACTGGGCACTGGAAGGTCGTGGCAGTCACTAACTCTGAGACACATTCGTTTCTTCAGGGTGATTTCAGTCTTCAAGCACCTTTGGCCATAGGGAGAGCCAACCGGACAGTTTATCCCATTTACTGAGGCTATTGATTAGGCTGTGAAAGGAATAGAGGCAATTATGGACTGGGGAAATATGGCAAAGGTGCCTGGGACTGGGTGCTGCTGGACAATATTTTACTGAAAAGGCGCCTCTGGCTCTTCGCTGTGTTAAAGAAAGAGTTTTGACATCTGGGAGACTAACCAAGTTGCTAAAAAAAGCAAGTCACATAAACCAAACAACATCTAATGCAAACACTTGAGGCCATCCATCCAACATTATTTTTGCAAGCCAAGCAGTTATAAATAGGTGATGCCGTCTGGCTTGGGAGCAGAGCTGAGGAGAYCCCTGGCAGCTTGACCACCACAGCACTGCASCACTYGCCGCTGTAATGCGCCCACAGGGGYGAGCACRGACAGAGCTCTGTCCTGGGGCACRCAGAGGACATGCCCTTGATATTCCCATGGGAAAAAGGCCTGGAGGCAGAGACAGTCCAGGGACAGGGAGACCTGAGAAGCTGCAGGGCTGTCTGGGACACGGCTGGTTCAGCCTGTTCTCTGACTCCAGCACCACACAGAGGACATCCAAGGCCAGGACATGGATTAACTCCACACCATCCACCTGCCATTGCTCTCCAGYACTGCACTGCCATAAGGCAGCTGGGAAGAACAGGACACTGCAGACCTCAGGCATCTTTCACCAGTCCAGTCCCTTCCAGCACCACAACATCCCCAGCCAAACCTGCTGAGCAAGAGCAGCCCATAGACACTTACCACACATCTCGTGGTCTCTCATCACCACCCAGGTCTCCTCAGGGTGCTCGGCCCCAGGAGCTGCTCCTTCCACAGTGCTGGTCCAAAGCAGGGCTGTGCTGATGAACAAGGTGTTCTCCATGAGCACAGCACTATGTGGGCTCCATAGCACTAACTGATGGTTGCAAGCAACACAAGCAACCAGAGCAAGTCTCGGGCCCCTCATATAAAGGGAGCAACCCAGGTGTGGTTCATCAGCCAGCGTCTGAGAACAACCAGGCTTTACCACCTGGGTCTCCTGGTGGATGTGGATACCCACCCAAGCATCATCTCCTTTTGCTGTTGGGTGTCTCAGCACCCACCCCCAGAGAGACTCAAACAAGAGACATAATAGTTAGCCCAACATTTCTGAGATCTGTGTTCTCATTGAGCTCAGGTGGGTTGCCAACCTCTGCAAAAGCCCAGTTTTAATTTGATTCCCTCTAACTGCTTCATGATGTGAAGCCCTCATGCTGGGGCCAGCTGTGGCTTTTGTGCTGACATTTGCTCTGCCCCAAGGACCCTGCTCAGCATCGGAGCCTTGCTGAGAAGAAGGGCCAGGGCTGGGATGTGGCACAAGCTGCTAGGCCGAGGGAGAACAGGACCCTCTTTGCCTCGGCAGTTCGGAGAGGATGGGCCTCAACCCCCGGGATTGTCCTCTCAGAGAAAAGACTAGAGAGAAGCAGCTGGAAAATATCCGCACACAAGTAAGACTTGAAAGAGTTTGCAATTTTGAGGCGGAGGAAACAACACAGCCCCAACATGGTGCGTTCACTGMAGGAGAGAAAACGTATTCCCCTTTTATTTTATTTCTTCTCCAGCAGCAAGCAGGCACAGAGTGGCTGGGAGCAGTTTCACAGGGCAATTTGCAGCTTYCTGAGGTGGGAAATTGCAGCCCTAGGGCCTCAGCCACCCGGGCTGGAGGCAGGGGCCGGTCTGCAGAGCATCTCGAGCAGGGAAAGAAAATGCATCCTGCAGGAATCATCCATGGGTGAAAGAAGTGGGTGCTGCCGCCTCCAGAGGCTCCTGGTGGGAGGACATGCGTGGGCTACATGCAGTGCCCTGGGACTGTCACAGCTTCCCATGGAAACCCTCAGCACGTGGGACCTTTCCCTCCAYGCGGGGCCTGTCCCGGCTGTCCCAGCGGCAGCGCGTGCCAGGAGAGCTGCTCGGATTGCCGGGAGAGCTGCTCGGATTGCAGCCCATTCCCAGAGCCTTTGGCTCCCGCGCTTGCCCCTCCTGGCACCCCGCAGTGCTCCGCTSGGGACGCTCATTTACAGCACAGCGACACTGCGTGGGGCCAGCCCTCCCGTCCCCGATCCGAGCTGAAAACGCTCCCTCCGATTCGCTTGCGACAAGCTCCCAGCAAATACTCTCACAAGTTATTAACCAAGGATGCTATTTTATAAATATATGTTTTTTATATTATTTAAGAAAGCCAGAATCCTCAGAAAAATGGATAAGCCAATAAAAGCGACTGCGATCAAAAGCTTGCTAAAGCAGAGCAGCACCTTTGGTCGCAATCCAGGCAGTTTATGGCAGGTACTTGGTGTCTGGCTGACGCTCAGCTGACAGCTTTCCAAGCCTATAAAATCCTTATTAGGCTGAAAATAGAGTTTCTGATTGTAAAACGGCCAGGGCTCTGCTGTGAGCATTCCCAGCGCCGCAGCGCTCCGTGCGGGATCCCCAACAATTTGGGCTCTGATGGTGCTGAAGGGTCCCTTGCAGAGGGAGCGTCCAGGGCCAGGGCAGCCCTGGCTAGCGGCAGTCCGGGCAGGAGATATTTTATGGGAAGAGTATCCCAGAGAAGGAATAAATATCCAGGCAGCAACTCGGGGTCGAGGCAGCACCCCGAGGACAGCAGCCCCCRGCCCCGAGCGGAGCAGGGGGGTCAGAGCCGCCGTCTCCTCCAGGCAGCTGCCACTGTTGGTTTTATTCCTATCTCACTATCTAAACCTTTTTAGAAATAAAGTATTCCGCTGCTTTAATAGTGTTCTGCAGCACGGTGAACCTATAATCTTGGTATTAAATGGCATCAGGGCCAAAAGAGCTGGTGCTTTTGCTRAAGATGGTCTATTTGCTCCTTAAAAATAAGCGAAAGCAGCCGAGGGCGAGCTCCGACTTTGTTTTCCAGCTCCAGCAAGCAACAAGTTTCTCGAAGTTCACCTTAAAATGACTGGATTAACAAGGGACTCCTGTTCCCGGTCACAAGCACCTTGCAGCAGAAACACGTCGCTTCTGTTTTATTTTCGGAGCTTTCTCTCTGTCTCCCCATGCAATAAAAATGAGACATTTAATCTCATAATGCAGCTCCTTGCTGGAAATCAATGCTAAGGCCCATTATGCTGCTGGGTCTGATGCTGCCCATCCCGCGCGACCTTAGTCAAGAGCAGGGAAGTCAGGGGGAAGGCAAAGGTTGAACCACGCGAGCTCCGTGCTGCGCTCGGAGCAGGAAAATCTCACTGGAACCTCAACAGATTGAGCTGCCCCAAACCCTCTGGGCGCAATTTGATCCTGACAATCTTTGCACTTACCATAGAACTAGTAGAAACTAAGGTGAGAAAAAGCTGAGAGCCCTCAGTCCCCAGATGGCTGAAGACCCCAAACTTCCACCCATCCTTTGTGTCTGGAGAGCATCTCGGCAGGGTTTTGCACACCCAGCCCTGCCCCAATGAGCGCACGCAGCGGTTGGCTTTGGACRACGCTTTTTTGCCTTGATGGCCCAAATGTCACCTGGGCTTTCAGGTGTGACGTGCAGGGCAAGGGCGCCCCAGAAGAGACRGGTAAGAGGCAACGAGCGGGTGCTTCCCATGGCTCCTCCCAGGCTCATCCACCAGAAGATCCCAAGGCACCCGCACTGTCCAGCAGCCTCCCCTGAGCGCGTCCACCGGTGTTGACGGGTGTTGGAGCCGATCTCCTTTCTCCAGGAACAACTCCTGGCACCGAGAATGAGCAAAGCGGAGGCTGGTGGCCCATGTCCAGGGCGAGAGAGTTCCCGCTTGCAGCAGGGGAGGACACAGCTCCCGTGGCACCTGGAAACGCAGCAGCCGGAGCTGGGAGAGGCCTCGCGATGTCCCCGAGTGTCCCCTGCTCCTCGAGGGCACCGGCAGCCCCCAGGTCTGTGCTTTCCAAGCCCTCCCGGTGGCGAGGCTGCCACATCCCCACACAATCCGCTCCGCCGTTGAACTGCTTACGTGGTGGGAGAGTTTTTATGTCCCCCCTAAATCTCCTTTGCTGCAAATAAAACCTCAGGGGCCTCGTCCTCTCCGCGGGAGAGCCGAGACGCAGAGAAGAGGGATTAAASCCCCCGGTTCGGCTGCTTGGTTTTGCTCTGCCAAAGGAAGGAGAGTTATTTTTTGAGCGTGTTGTTACCTCCTGCCGCATACGGGGCGGGGGAGAATCATCTATTTTTGAAAGTGAAACACGYAGCGTGAGGAAAGCTTGGGAAAGCAGCAAGGACGAGCAGGGCCCGCCACATCGGGCGCCTCCTCTCCCAGCACGGCCACAGCAGAGTAAAACCCACACGGAGCTGGGCCGGGATTATCCCTGGGGAAAGGGGCTGCTCCGAGCGCCGGGGCTGCCGTGAGGCTCCTGCTCCCTGTGTGCGCAGCCCCCAGCACCTCCTGCCACTGCCCATCCCGACCTTCTGCCCCGGGAAAGGGACACCGGGAGGGGACCAGGGGTTGGGGACCCCAGGGCCGAGGAGGAGCCCGGTGGAGCAGCCCCCTCGCAGGAGCCACTGTCGGGACAAGCGGGGCYGCTGCGGGGGGGCTGGGGACGGGAACGCGCAGCGGGGGGGGGAGCGAGTGGCAGAGGCGGGAGCGCGCAGCGGGGGCGCCCACAGGGCCGGGCCGGGAGCGCGCAGCGGGGTCCGGGGCGGGGGCTGCGCAGGGAGCGCGCAGGAGGGTCGGGGC